TTTCGACTCTCTTTCTTGTTCCCAATCTTCGATTCACTCCCTGTTTCCTTCTGATTCACATTCTCAACTTCACTTTTTTTCGCTCTCAAACTTTCACGAGGTTGTTTTTGAACAACAACCTTATTCTTACGATCCAAATTAACATTGTTTACCTTTGAAGAACAATTTCCACAGACCCTATTTGGCTAATCTTCCTTTCTCCTAAAACCTTCCTAAGGTCTGTGGAGTGAGTCTAGACCCATGAGTCTTGTGACTACTCCTGAGGTCTTGGCTTTGGTTTTGAAATCTTTTTTTGAGTTTTCGAAGGTGGTGGTGATTGGGATGGTGGTGGTAGGCTCGGTGATGAGATTAGATGGGTGGGTTGGGAGGCTGTCTGTGCAAAGGAGGCGGCGGAGGATGCTGGAGTACCACTTGGAAATGGAATTCTGTGACTCGGTCATGTTTGAAAAAGAGAGAGAGAGGGTGACTATGTGGAAAGGCGGCAAAAACTGTATTATGTTTTGGTGTGTACCACATTTTACCTAATTCCCTTTCAAAACACAACAGTTTTTGCCGCCTTTCCACACAATCTCTCTCTCTCTCACTTGTGACTACTCCTGAGGTCTTGGCTTTGGTTTTGAAATCTTTTTTTGAGTTTTCGAAGGTGGTGGTGATTGGGATGGTGGTGGTAGGCTCGGTGATGAGATTAGATGGGTGGGTTGGGAGGCTGTCTGTGCAAAGGAGGCGGCGGAGGATGCTGGAGTACCACTTGGAAATGGAATTCTGTGACTCGGTCATGTTTGAGAAAGAGAGAGAGAGGGTGACTATGTGGAAAGGCGGCAAAAACTGTATTATGTTTTGGATACCACATTTTACCTAATTCCCTTTCAAAACACAAAACAGTTTTTGCCGCCTTTCCACACAATCTCTCTCTCTCACACAAAGATGACCGAGTCAGAAATTCCACTTGCAAGTGGTACTCCGGCATCCTCCGCTACCTCCTCTGCACTGACAGCCTCCCAACCCAACCATCCGATCTCATCACCGACCCCACCACCACCATCCCAACCACCACCACCTTAGAAAACCCAAAAAAAGATCTCAAAACCCAAGTCAAGACCCTAGGAGCAATCGCAAGACTCACGAGTTGTTAGACTTTCTTAGCTATATTGTTTCGACTCTTTTTCTTGTTCCCAATCTTCGATTTACTCGCTGTTTCCTTTTGATTCACATTCTTAACTCCACTTTTTTTCGCTATCAAACTTTCACGAGGTTGTCTCTGAACAACCACCACCTTATTCTTACGATCCAAATTAACATTGTCAACCTTCGAAGAACAATTTCCACAGACCCTGTTTGGCTGATCTTCCTTTCTCCTAAAAACCTTCTTGTGGTCTGGGAGTGAGTCTAGATCCATGAGTCTTGCAACTACTCCTGGGGTCTTGACTGGGGTTTTGAAATCTTTTTTTGGGTTTTCGAAGGTGGTGGTGGTTGGGATGGTGGTGGTGGGGTCGGTGATGAGATCGGATGGATGGAGTGGGAGACTGTCCGTGTAGAGGAGGCGGCGAAGGATGCCGGAGTACCACTTGAAAGTGGAATTCTGTGACTCGGTCATGTTTAAGAGAGAGACTCTGTGCAAAGGCGGCAAAAACTGTTTTGTGTTTTGATTTTCTCTTTCTTCTTGAGCAATTACAAGGCTTCTTGCTTGTGAATTTTCATCATCTCATCCTCTTCTTTTTTGAGATTGGCAGACTCTTCCTCCTTCCTCTGTTTGTAAGCCTCTAGGAATGGCAACGGGGTGGGGTGGAGCGGGGCAGGACGAGGCGGGGCCGGGGATCACACTCCCGATCCCCGATTGTGAAAACCTCTCCGTTCCCAGCCCCGATTCCCGACCGGAAACCTATCCCTACCCTCATCCCCGCCCCCTAACAAAGATCGGGTTTCCCTGACCCCGAAAATTTCCCGGTCCAAATCTTTCAACAACACCATCAACAGCATTATGAACAACATCATCAATGATACAAATATATATATTTCTAACAATTGCACAGATTTATACATTAGCATCAAAGAGCCCATTCATAAATGAACTGGGTCTTCCCTGTTGACAAACCTTTTTCTCGTTTTCTCTTCTTTCTACATGGGAACCAATGCATAAAACCGCAATCATCATCATCATCAACACCATCAACAGCATTATGAACAACATCATCAATGATACAAATATATATATTTCTAACAATTGCACAGATTTATACATTAGCATCAAAGAGCCCATTCATAAATGAACTGGGTCTTCCCTGTTGACAAACCTTTTTCCCGTTTTCTCTTCTTTCTACATGGGAACCAATGCATAAAACCGCATTCATCATCATCATCATCATCATCATCATCAACAGGTTACAAAGAAAAAAAAAACAGAACTGTGAGATCTGTATTTCATCTGTAATACAGATCCACTACCAAAAAAAAAAAAAAGGACAGATCTCAAATAGGAAGAGAGATCTCCGAGAGAGACACACATACATGTATACATACATACACAAACAGATTTGTGACACACAGAGAGAGAGGATGATGGAGGCAATGAACGACGAGGGCGATGGACGATCGGCGACGACGGCGGAGGCAATGGGTGACTGTAACTGTGACTGCGATGACGGAGACGATAGACGGCGGAGGACAATTGGCGTCGCGGACAGTGGCGGTGGCGTTGGTGCTGAGGAGGAGAGGTGTGATAGAGAGAGAGTAGAGGGAATAGAGAGAAATAGAGAGAGAGAGAGAGAAACAGACAGAGACAGAGACAAAGAGAGAAGTGAGAACATCGGTTTATATATATATATATATGTAGGGGTAAAATAATAATTTCACTTCGGGGAGAGATAGGGACGGGGACGGGGACGGGGACGGGGACGGGGACGGGCCGGGTACGGGACTGGGACACTTATCCCTGTCCCCGGCCCGAAATTGATCGGGGATTTATTTTTGAATACCATCCCCTCCCCGTTGGGGATATTTTTGGTTTTGCTGCAATGGTTGCTATGAGAGAGAGAGAGAGAGAGAGAGAGAGAGAGGGGTTTAGTTCTGAAAAAATGCACATGAAATGATAATTGGACAAAGTAAAAATTTGACTAATATAATACAAATAATTTGAGTAATATAATACAAATAAACATATATTCAAAAAAATTATACAAAGTAACGTAACTGCATTGTGGGCCTAGTAATTGAAAATAAATAATTTACCAAAATGATTGTTAATGATTATAACGTTGCTACCGTATCATTTTGATAAATAAAAAAAAAATTCAACTCCGGTAAAAATTTGTCAAAATTTTGTTGACTAGGAACATGCTAGATGAGTGGAGAAAGAGTATTTTAGTGTCAATCTATAAAAATAAAGGTGATGTCCAGAATTGCAACAACTATAGAGAGATCAAACTAATGCGTCATATAATGAAAGTGTGGGAGAGGGTGATGGAACGCCGATTGGGAGATATAACAGAGGTGTCAGAGAATCAATTTGCCTTTATGCCTAGCAGGTCAGCAATGGAAGCGATCTATCTTTTAGGGAAAGTAATAGAAAAGTATAAAGAAAAGAAAAAAGACATTCATATGATATTTATTAACCTTGAGAACGCATATGATAGAGTGCCCGGGATATAATATGGTGGGTGTCAGAGAAAAAAGGGTTAACAAAAAGTTACATTGATGTGATTAGGGATATACATGAAGGGATGGTAACCACTATTAGATCACTAACTGAAGAGACAAATGGATTTCTTATCACTATACGGTTATACCAAGAATCTACCTAAGTCCTTATCTCTTTGCTTTAGTTATGGATGAGTTGACGAAAAATATTCAGGATGACGTGCCATTGTGTATGCTTTTTGCAGACGATATTGTGCTAGTGGATGAGACTAGAAAATGAGTTGACACAAAGTTGGAGATTTGGAAAAAAGCTCTTGAATCTAAAGGATTCTGGATAAGCAGAATTAAGACAGAATACATAGAGCGTAAATTTAGTAATAGTAACAATGAAAGTAGAGAAAAAGTGAAAATTGAGAACCAAAAACTGCCTAGAAGTGAACATTTTCGTTATTTAGGATCGATTATCACAACAGTAGGGGAGATTGATACAGATGTGACCCATAGAATTAAGGCGGGATGGTGTAAGTAGAGAAGTGCGTCTAGGGTATTGTGTAATAAACAAATACCCACTAGATTAAAAGGTAAGTTCTGTAGAACAGCTATTAGACCAGTAATGTTGTATGAGACCGAATGTTGGGCAACCAAAAAATATTTACATAAGATGAGTGTGGGTGAGATGAGGATGCTAAGGTTGATGTGTGGTAAGACTAGACAAGATAGAATTAGGAATGACTGTATTCGGGAATGAGTAGGAGTAGCACCGATAGAAGGTAAGTTGAGAGAGAATCGATTGAGATTGTTTGGTCATATTCAACGGAGATCAATAGAGACAGTAGTGAAGAGATACGATGTTGTAACGATAGATGGAAGTGTTAAGGGACGGGATAGGCCTAGATTAACGTTGACTAGCGTCGTAAATAGATATACGAATCTACTTAATTTGACTAATGAAATAGCTTTTGATAGAGCCACGTGGAGAAGAAGGATTCATGTAGCCGACCCCATTTGATGGGACTTAAGGCCTGGTTTAGTTTAGTTTAGTTTGGTTTGGTTTGGTTTGGTTTGGCTTGATTTGGTTTAGTAAAAATTTGTATAAAATTAAAACTTTTTTTTTTTCTCATATAATTACCAAGATTCACAAATCTTAAAAAAAAAAAAATTCACATATCACAAACCAAAGTTGAAAACCATTATAATCAACTAAAATTCATTAAATAGTAATTAACAGCATTCTAAAAACACACAAAATTGGAAACATACTATATGAACACACAATAATATAAAGTATTTTTTTTTTTTTTGGGTCTTTCAAGCACATGAAATACTGTTTGAAGTGGTGGGGGTGAACTGCTCAAAGGCTGACTTTCGGCTGACTTTCTTATCACCGTTGCCACCACCATCGACTTAAACTTTGGCAAAATTCCAACGCCGCTGCCACTCTTCGGCACTTCTAGAATGGTTGAAAGCGGGCCTGACCAATCGAAAACATCAAAAAATAGGTCTTGCAATCCTACTTTCACTTGTTTGGGGCCGAAAATGGATTGCAGAAGTTTGTGAAACGAGTGAGAAAATTGAGGATTTTTTGGAGATGGGTTGTGGAGGTTTTTGCGACGGCGGAAGTGGTGGCGGGTGGTGGTGATTGGATAAGCGAGGAATGGAGAGGGTTCTAGAAGAAATGGCAGAGTGAAGTTGGCGTTCGATGGATTTGAGCTCGAAAGAGTCGTTGAGTGAGCTTCCACAATCCATTACAAGAGAGTTGTTGGGTTTGTGATTGTTTTGGGTTTCTGATTGAAGAACTTTCTAATCCATTGTTGTTTGTTTTTTGAGAAAAAAGAGAGATGTAGAGATGGTTATGTATCTTTAGAGAGAGTGAGAGGAGAAGTTTCTTGGCTAGAGAGAGAGCAGAAGTTCCTTGGCTTTATGGAAAAATTAACACCATACCATAACCAACCCACCCAAACATTAGGAAAAAATCACAACCAAAATAACACTCAGGGTAAACAAGTAAACTCCACAATATACCATAAATAAAAGGATTAATTGGTTTGAAAGAAAATTTCCAGGATTAAATAGAACAACATTTTCCCAAATGGAATTTTTGGATAATTTTTCCTAAATTAATAGATGAAGATATTATAGCAATAACTAAAAATGATAATAAAAAAAAATATGATCTTTTGTTTTATAGCTAAAAGTGTTTTTTTTTAATTAGATGCCAAACTCATCCCTATGATAGTCGGGACTCTAAATTTTGTTTAAGAAAAAAATAATTAAATAATTTTATTTCGTAAAGTACAAAAAGTCAAAATTTCATATTTAGTAGACATTTTAAAATTTTATTTTTGCCTTTTTTCATTTTTCTAGTCAGGTGGAATGTAAAAGTATAATTTTTGTATGAATTTAAATGATTTTTTTTAATACGAAAAATCAAAAAAAATACTAAAAAAATAAATCCAAAAAACTTCCTTAGGTCTTGTTTGGTGCAGTTTATTATAGGTTAAAACTGATAATAAAAAGATAGAATTCAGCTTTTAGATAATCAACTTATTTAAACTATTTTCACCTAATAAAATATAAGTAAAAATTCCACTAAACAATCTAACACAAACTTTTTAATTAAAATAAACCATCATTTAGGGTGTAACAAGGTCGACCAAGCCAAAACCACGGCATTATAAGAACATTAAATTTTCTAAAATCAGCTTTCATAAGTTTTATTTTCATTTATTTATTTATTTATTTATTTTTTGGAGTAGCTTTCATATAATAATAATAATAATAATAATAATAATAATAATAATAATAATAAATATTTAATGAGAGAAATGGTTGGTCCATAAGACTTACCTTTAAGTTCACGCAAGTTTATCAAAACCAACAACACAACACAAGATTACCATTTGCCAAAGGGAAATGTTACGGTGTGCACCCTTAAAAAGATTTATATAATATGCATTTTATAACTTTTTTGAAAAAATTACTCAAAAATTCCATTTGGGAAAATGTTGCTCTATTTAGTCCTAGAAGTTTTCTTTCAAAATTACGGAAAAATTAACACCATACCATAACCAACCCACCCAAACATTAGGAAAAAATCACAACCAACATAACACTCAAGGGTAAACAAGTAAACTCCACAATATACCATAAATAAAAGGACTAATTGGTTTGAAAGAAAACTTCAAGGATTAAATAGAGCAACATTTTCCCAAATGGAATTTTTGGGTAATTTTTCCTAAATTAATATATGAAGATATTATAGCAATAACTAAAAATGATAAAAATATGATCTTTTTGTTTTATAGCTTAATTTTTTTTTTTTAATTAGATGCCAAACTCACCCTTATGATAGTCGGGACTCTAAATTTTGTTTAAGAAAAAAATACTTAAATAATTTTGTTTCTTAAAGTACAAAAAGTCAAAATTTTCATCTTTAGCAGACATTTTAAAATTTATTTTTACTTTTTTTCATTTTTCTAGTCAAGTGGATTGTAAAAGTATAATTTTTGTATGAATTTAAATGATTTTTTTTATACTAAAAATCAAAAAAATACTAAAAAAATAAATCCAAAATACTCCCTTGGGTCTTGTTTGGTGCAGTTTATTATAGGTTAAAACTGATAATAAAAAAGTCGAATTCAGCTTCTAGGGAATCAACTTATTGGTAAGGGAAATATCACCCCTAAAAACATTATAAGCAAAAGAAAAAAAAAAAACTTTACTCCACTATATATCAAAACCAATCAAAAGTCTTTTCGTCACCTCTCTCTCTCTCTCTCTCTCTTATATATATATATTAGCAAAAAGAATCAAAGGACATACCGAATTTAACATACCTTGGCAGAATTGAGTTGCATTACATTCAAATTGAAACCAAGAACAAAGCTCAATTGCTGGCTTTCACCTCTTTGTGGAGTCCAAGAGATAGACGCAGACAAGCATGCAGCCTTTCCAAATTTGGAGACGGAATCAATAACATTATGAAACTCAGCCTAGAGAAACAACTACAAAATATTAGTTTTGGACATATTAAAATATGTATGAGTCAAAATACCAAAGAAAACCAATAAGCATTATAAATGCATATTATGTACGTGCTTTCATCACATATATTACATATAGTAACATAAACAGAGCAACTTGGTGGCAATGCCTGGTAAACATTGTTCATCAACTTAATACTTGAATTTAGTTGCCTGAGATGGTTAAAAAATACATAAGAATATCTCACACCCTTGTCCAGGTGTTGGGTGTCAAACACGTCACACGAGTATTTGATTTATTTTTAAGAGTCCATGTAATATAGGTTGTAACATTGTAGAATTACAAAGAGCACCTGAAGTTGCCAATTCTTCAGTTCCAATGGATCTAGGAGCTCATACACTTTCACGTGGTCGTTTGAATATGCAGCAGCCTGTAAAGGAAGTCAAACAAAACACCCTAGCAAAATATGCCATCATGAAAATGAAAATTTACAATTTCTTATCATACTGTGTTGCCATAGAAAACTACAACTAAAAGGATAGTGAAATAAAAACTTTGATAAAATTAGTGCCTTTTAAAAACTAACTTAAATTATAGAAACATATAGAAGCTTGAAAACCCCAAAGCCATCTAGAGCCAAAAAGGGGCTTGGAAACTCTTTTCTTTTTTTTTTTTGATCAATAGGCTTGGAAACTCTTTTTACTACAAATTAATACAAAAACTACCATATTTTCATTGACAAGGGCTAGCAAACTTGATTCCCCATATGCAGTTCTAAGAAATTAAATGAAGAAAAACTGAGGTGATACCCATTGCCAATACCTACCAACTTCAAACTTGTGAATGACACTCCAAATTGCATATCTAGCACTTGATTTGAACTTGTCTCAAAGCCTTTGCAAAGCTTCCATTGAAGGGGTTTTGTATCTATAGAATGACAAAACAATGTTCAAAATAACAGTGAGGCTTTGTTCACTACACAAAATGGGAGGCTCTCCAGCATACTAAGCTTGAGTAATATTTTTCCTGATTATTAGACAGGAAAATGGTACACAAACAGAATTTTTAAACAGAAAACTCATCCACAATGATGGGGTAGTGGTATTTTTAATCATGAGCCACAAAGATGGGTGGGTGTTTTTGGCTTAAAATGAAAAGATTAAAAAAAAAAACATATAAAAATCTATCAGAGAAAAGAGTAAAGAGAGCAAACAATGAACAAACCAAAATGAAACCTAGAGCAAAGAGTTACCTACAAAGTTGTTCCTAAGATGAACATATTAAATGTAAATAAAAAAGAATTGGCCAATGCATAACACTGCCTAATTTTAGACTATGATACTGGGTGTAAATAACATAGAAAATGCATTAGAAAATTCATTGGATATCTTCAGCAACCTCCTCCCACAATGACAAAGTTCCATCTGCACAAATGCATGCAACTCCACCACCATATTCTGGAGGAACCCAAACAACTTTCACAATGCTCACTTCATGAACCTATGAGAAGCCCAATGTAAAAAATGCATATAAATAAATAAATAATCAAGAAAATGATGACCAAAAAAAAAGAGGAAGAAGAAGAAGAAAGGAAACATATATGAAACTCTGACAAGTTTGAATCACAATGAAAATTCTATCGCCACATCATCATGTTTAAAAAATCCAATTACCAAAATGTAGTTATAATCTATAACCATGAATGACAAAAAGATGATAATTGTGTGAGAGAACACAGGAAAAACATGAGATAATCAGGGCAAGAACTGCAATCAATACATGCAAATTTAACTTCATACTCAATGAGCAATGATGCACCACTGACTAGACTTGTCTTCCCTTAAGCCACTTTCCTTGTCACATACTCATAATTTTAGAAGCAACTTTCAGTAACATCTCAAACTTTTGAAATATCACATTTCTATCATGCAATTTGGAATATTTATAGAAGAGTTTTGCGTTTTGGCCCCTTCAAAATTTAGGGTTAGTTTGGCATGTTTGAAAAAAGCCAAAAAGTTAAAAAATCACTATCTTATTTAAGTCACATTATCTTATTTAAGTCACATCATCTCTCTAACACAGCACTTCAAACCCAATCCAAACCCAACTCATATTTCATAAAAAGTCAAAAAAATACACTTATTTAGATCATCCCAAATAACCCCTTAATATAATTTTACTCCAACCCCTCCAAAATCTAAATAATTTTATCTTTGCTGCCCAAAATTTTGAAAATTTTCATTATTTTTTATGCAAATTTCAGTAATTATAAAAATGAATTAGTGTTTTGGCCACCCCAAGCCTTTGAAAAATCTCATCACTTTCATGTAATTTTGAGTATACATAAAATAAATTAGTATCTTGGTTCCCGAAATCTATATAATTTTACTTCAATTTCTCTAAAATATAAATAATTTTGTTTTAACCCCCCCCCTGCACAATTTCTGGGTCCGCCATACAGTTCATGTAAAATGATTTAACAGTGTATAATGCAATACATGACAACATGCTCTTCCCTATCTGATCTTTATCGCCTTTGTTTATAAACAATCCTCAACATTATCACCATTATTACCCATTCTCAAATTAGAAGCGCCATATAAAAACCCTATGGAATCCAATTATCCAAACTTCGAATTCAATTCAGACTAAAAGGATTGCAGATAATTATCCAGTCAAAACGCATATATTTATACACAAAAATTGAAAATTTTAACAAAGAACGAAGCTTACGAAATACGAACCCTGGATGTAGAAGTGCAAGTGAATGACAAAGAAGCCGGGTCGACTGAGTCGAAAATGGCCAAAGCTCCACTGATTGAACTAGTAGCCAATCTCTTGCCACAGTAGTTCCATGAAGAGCAGGTCGTGCCTTTGTCAAAGGTCACCACAGACTTCTCCATCTCTCTCTCTCTCTCTCTCTCTCTCTCTCTCTCTATAAATTTCGATTTCTCCTTCAGTGATCGGCGAAGAAAACTATTTCAATGTTTCGACATTGATGGAAATTCCCAAAACGCTTTCTCTAGGGTTTTTGTCAAAACGTTCATTATCGCTGCGTGTGCGAATTTGCCTAAAACACCCACGCATCTTCGCAATTTTTATTTTTTTTATTTTTAATTTATATATATATATATATATAAAGGGGCTATACTCAGATATTGTAACATTTTCATATACTCTTCTATCCTATTTTGTTTGTCTTTTTTTTTTTCATTTTGGGATGTCCCAAAATATTAGTTCTATTTGAAAAGTTAAAGTAAAAAATATTTAGTTTTCTAAAATTATCAATTTTAACTGGCTAGAAATATTACTAAAAATTGAAACGCATGAAGATATTATTAGAATAAGTGCACTAAAATTTAAATGCAATGATGTCTCTCTTAAAAAAGTTAAATTTTTTTAAAAAGGGCTATTAAAATGGGACGGATGGAGTATTATTTAGGTACAATTACCAAAAAAAAAAAAAACTACTCAATGTACGTATATATAAAATATAAAAAATATCATTTTATTACGTTTAATGACTAAAATATCATTTTTTTAGTTGATTTTACTTAATAAAAATAGATAAATGTTTAGATTGAATCAAAAGTTTAGGGATTAAATTGATAAAATTAAAAGTTTAGGTTTTATTTTGATATAAGGGTCAAATTTCGGATTTTTATTTTATTTTTTTTGTAGTTGTCCCATTTTTTTATTTTAACAAAATCAAAATTATATTAAAAAAATCAAAAATTTTATCCTTATTAAAAAAACAATTATTATAACATGATGATATTGTAAAGCTAGCTAGGGTTAAAATCGATTTTGTCTTTCATATAAAATATATTTTTATTTTATGAAAAATATTATTTAAAGAAAAAATTGTTGAAATTGATTTTATTTTAAATTTATTTATTCAAAAATTCAAAAAAATTATATAAAGATTTATACATTTATTTTTCATATCTAACAATAAAGTTATATAATATAAAATTTGAATATACGCATATAATATAAAATTTGAATATACGCATATAATATAAAATTTGAATATACGCATATAATATAAAATTTGAATATACGCATATAATATAAAATTTGAATATACGCATATAATATAAAATTTGAATATACGCATATAATATAAAATTTGAATATACGCATATAATATAAAATTTGAATATACGCATATAATATAAAATTTGAATATACGCATATATTATGTAATTTGTGGGTCTTGTAGGCCTTCAAGCATTATTATTCCAAGTCTTACCTTAAAATATATCTATAGTCTTATTTTATGGGCCTAAACTGTAATTTTAAATCCTAAAAATTATAGGTAAGTTGCGCGAGCTTCGAGCTGATGTCCTCCGCCACTATCATAAGGGGTTGTTTGGGATAACCTAAATAAGTATATTTTTTGTCTTTTTATGAAAAGATGTGCAGAAAAATAGAAAGGTGATATGATGAAAAAAAGATAAAAAGATGGATTATTTTTGAGTTGCCAAACTTGGCCTAAGTTGTTTCACAATGTTGGTATTGTTTGGTTTGGTCTAAATTTTTATTTTTTTGGCTTTTCTTGTTTTATTAATTTTAATGAAAAATCATATCTTAGTTAAAATAAATTATTTTTTAAATATACTTAATCTAAATGTAATTAAAAGTAAAATACTTATGAAAAATTTTAAGAAGAATTCAATAAATATATTAAAAGAAACATAAAAATGTACTACATTTGTTTTTTGTTTTTTTGTATGTTTTTTATTTAGTGAATTTTTGAAAACTTTTGATGAGAACCATTGATTTTATGAAACACAATGTGTTGATCATATTTGAAGAAAAAAAACTAATTGATTTGCTATTTTATTATATTTATTTTTAAAATGTTGAGCGATCTATTTTTAAAATCATATATTTTTTAAAGACAAATATATAATTATCAAATCAAATTAATTTTTTTTTTAATTATGTACATAGAATAATTAATAAACTAAACAATTAAAATCATTAAAGTTGAGTCCATGATTGGGCCAAACTCCAAAACTAGTCGTGTCCCATAGTCAATCTCTATAATATTATATATACTGCGCTCCCAAAACAAACATAAATAAATAAATTATAAATATACTTTTGAGATTTTATTTAAAATATAGATTATTCCTTATAATTTGAAAAGTTATAAATGTCCCCTTATCATATTTTTTTATTGAACAGAGTTGTGGAGATATATTTTTTGAATACTAACACGTGACTAAGGTGACGCCGACGTGTCAGCCGAGGTGCCATGTATCCAGGTCATGACGCTGAGGTGATCTCGGTTAAGCCGAGGTTATCTCCAAAGATATCGAAATCCGAGATAAGCGGATAATGCACAAGAGTCCTAGAAAAGGGGAAGACTACAGTTGGGAAAGGATAAGACTCTTAGGGAGTTTTATCCTAATCCTACTGAAAGTCCAAGATTGGTAGTAATCCTAAGTCCATTAGAGCTAGGCTCTTGTTGGGACAAGGATTGAGTTAGCTATAAAAGAGAAGCACCCCCGTGGGTCTAAGGTATGCAAGTTATATTCTGTCTAGTGAGTTAAGCACTATTGATTATCTTTGAGAGATATACTGACTTGATCGTTGAAGTGTCCCCGGGTGGACGAACCACAGCCGGAATCTTCTCTTTCTGTTACAGGTTAGCCAGGCGTCATTTATTCTACCAGTGTTCTCCAACTGAATACTAAGTTGGGCAGTGTGATCGGAAAATCACCCACACAAGAATTAATTGAAAAAACAAAATTCTTAACTGTTATCCTATATAATGATAAAATTATCTAAACTTTTAATTGAAATAAATGTCTAACATTATCAAAAACTATTAATTGACTTAATGATTTATTAATAAAATGAACTATTTGTTACAAAATTAAAAATTTCAAGGGGCGGGATATAATTTTCAAAATTATAGAGAAAAAAAAAATCATATTTTAGATAAAGAGAATTTTTATTGATAAATCTCATTTAGAAGTGCTCTAACCTAAGCAGTTCATGAAGGAATTTTTTAACCCACTTAGTCCCTTGTATGTATATTTTTATTCCACAAAGTCATTTTTCTTGATTTACACTATTTCTTAGACTCTTATGCCCTTATATTTAATGTTGATATTTAATATCATTAAACCCTAAACCAAAAAAGCTACATTTTCATCAAAAGTATTAGAAAAATTGATAATCTTATAAAATGGACACATTTCCGGAAAATTCTTTAATGGCTTCAACGCCCTGAAAATTTTCTTTCATCTGATGTGAACATTCACAACACTTTTTCGAAAAATTCTCTCTCATCTAATGCAGTGATGTGAACATTCACGTCATCTATACATTCTTATTCACATCATGTTTGATTACCTAAAAAAATATTGGTGTGTGGTTAATACATTGTTGATGCTGTCATGTTTTTGTACCTTCTCTCTCATCTTATATGAACGTTCACAACACCTTTCCGAAAAATTCTTTCTCATCTAATGTAGTGATGTGAACGTTCACAACATGTGAACATTCTTATTTTTAAGCAGTGATAATATGCTATTTTTTCCCTTTTTGTGATTGTGGTTGCTATTGGTGTTAATGGTGTTCAAAGGATATGAACCCTTTGTTTTTTGTTTTTTATTTTTCAAAAAATAATGAAATGATGGTTTGATATATAATTGTCTATGTGTGTAGCTAGTGTTGTGATGTGAACATTCACATCATCTATTCATTCTTATTCCCATCATGTTTGATTACCCAAAAAGATAGTAGTGTGTGGTTAATGCATTGTTAATGCTGTCATATTTTTGTACTTTGTAAGCTATAATGTGAACATTAACATCATTCTTATATTCAAAACAGGGGTTGTTAATGTGAACCTCGACATTACCCTTGTGGACATTAACATTTGTATGTAGATATAGTATGAAGATCACCATTGAAAGGTATGCATTCCTACTTAATATAGTCCATTTTTTTGCCCCAATGCGAACTTTCACACATGTCACCATGATCATATTGATATAACATTGTAAACATTAACACTTGTATGTGGATATAATATGAAGATTGCCATTGAAAAGTATATATTTCTACTTAATATTGTCCATTTTTTTGCTCCAATGTGAACTTTCACACATGTCACCATAATCATGGTGTCTTTATCTATATTCCAGAATTCATGTGAACATTTACATTCGTATGTTTTATTATGAATATTCACATCATGTAATTGACAATGCAATGACAAAAATTTATTTTCAAATTAATAAATATAATGACAGTCAACATCCTAATGCATGGGAACTACCAAAATATAATGACAATCAACATTAAATATTAACATTAATGGGAGCATGAGAGATTGAGGGTGTTTTGGTCTTCTTACCTCAAATAGGACCTAATGGAATAGTAAAAAAGAATATGGGTTAGATAGAATAAAACTTTTAGAAAGGAGATTTATCAAAAAAATCTCTTTTTCATGTCTTGATACAAAACAAACTCAATTGGGCTGAGCATGGCCCATTTAGTAATTTCTCATTAACTCTCACATTAAAGTTTAGATGAACTTCAACAATTTTATGAGGTTTGTTAAAGCACTCAAAAGGGGTCTTCATGGGCTTTTCAAACAGTATTGGTGGGTGTATATGATTCAGTTCAGTCAATAATGAAAGAAAGGTTAGTATCAAATTAAAATTTTTAATTTTGATGATTGAAGAATCGACATAGACAATATGTTATGGTTTGATTTTATTCATTTGGTTTAGAAAATAATTTACATGAAAGTTTAAAGAATTTTATAAAAACTTATAGAATTTCAAAATCCAAACATTGTCAGCCTTTAAATATTCACTAATTTTTTCTCTACACCCACTACATGCATGGTAGCTTTTGTGCCTCGCCAAGAAATCCCTATTTGGTTAAAAAATATGAGTAAAAAAAATAAAAATAAATAAGGAATATACTAAAGATAACTATTGACAAAGTGACATGATGACAATGTCATTTTCTAAAGATAAAAAATCAATAAGGAATATACTTTTAGATAGTAAAATCTGTCACCATATTATAGTTCGGTTTTAG